ATTCTCATCAAAGCCTTTGATCTCTGAAGGCAGGTGCGACCCCATGCATCTTGGGGCAGGTATGTGAGCAGGGCTATATTCAGTCAGAACCAGAGCTGGGGATTGTCTTATTTTGATTTTTTAAATCCTCATGTGAGGATATGTTTGACTCATTTTAGAGAGAGGGGATGAGATGGGGTGAGACAGAGACACAGAGAGAGAAACACTGATTGGTTGCCTCCTGTATGTGCCCCCACCAGGGATCAAACCTGTAACCTGGGTATGTGCCCTGACCAGGAATTGAACCAACAACTTTTCGGTGCACGGAAAGATGCCCAACTGAGCCATACCAGCCAGGGCTCATTTTCCTTTTAAAAGACTTGTTTCTTTAGTTTAGCAAATATTGATGGCGATGCTCTTAGAGGAAGGAGAGGTGTGGCTCACCAACTCAAGGATTCATTGGAGAAGCAAGGATTCACTTATTTCAATTCGTCATGGGTATGGCACCTCCCAAACTGCAGGGGGTGGAGGTGGGGACTCAGCTGGGAGAGGTGAGGAGAGCTGCCTGCCCGGGACTGGGCTCTCTGCAGGGACTGTCCTTCTCTTGGCCACTGACCAGCCCAGGGGACTTGGTGGCTGAGGAATCGGGAGAAAAGTCCCACAGCCACACTGCAGCTCCCAGTCCACATGACAAATTCCGCTGGGTGTGGGGTGAGATTAGAAATAGTAACTATTACTGATGGAAACCTAATGTGGGTGCTTTCAATGGGGTGCTGAGCCCTGGGTCTCAAGCTGGGACAGGCTGTTGCCCACCGGCCACGCCCATCACAGCTGCTACTTGTGCCTTGGTGAGGTCTGTATCGCTTTGTTCTGGAGGATGCTCAGCTGGCCCATTGTGGCTCTGTTGGCCTTAAGTGACCCCTAGCGCACATGTCATTTTGAAGGCCAGGACCTGCGGATGGGCACACGGGGCAGGCAGCGGTGGCCTCCTCTCTCCCAGGGTGCACTGCTGAGTCACCACCCTGGGAACTGGCCTCCTTTGGACCACAGCTTCATCCGGTCCAGGACCTAGCAGGACAGCGTGTGCTCTGCCAACCTAGGACACAGCAGGCGAGCCCCGCCCCTCCCACCTCCCAACACAGGGCCCTCTCTGCCAGCACACAGCCGTGCTGCCCACTGCCCGGCCTCTTTCCTGGGCTGGGCACCCCCCTCCTCACCTGTGGAGACACAGAGAAGGTGCTGGGAGCTTGGGTGAGCCCACACCCTGCTTGGAGACACATCCCGTCTCTCTTTAGAATGTGAGAAAGGGACTTTTGTTTCCGAAGTGTTGAAAGCCCAACAGAAGCCAGGACACCAGTTTCCCCCGTGACAGGTCAGTGTGGCCTCAGGGAGCGGGGATGCCGGCAGGGTCTCTGGTGTTTGCGAGGACACTGCCCAGCCAGAGTCCCCACCTGTCTCTGTGGTCACTGGGGACACCTGCAGGGTGGTCCTCTCATCAGGGGCATCGGAAGGGCAGAGACGTACATTTGAGGACTCAGGAGATGGAGCTCCTTAATGGGGAGCAGACTGCTCAACCCACAGGGACAGCATGGTCCTGGTTTCACCACCATGTGGATTCATGTTTACAGCTCAGAACAACTACCAGTACACCAACAACCCATGTCCATGGACTCCGTTTCTATGGAAACACTGGAGTGAAAGTAGTCTTGGCATCTCATAATTCAAAGAACAAAGCAACAGTGTCAGAGGTATTTTGTCTGTGGAAAGATTATTATATGCACATGTGTGTAAATACACCATACAAATGTATGCACACGTTAGCACATTTGCATATGCAACCACACATGTGCACAAACATGCACACACAAACAGTTGCATGCACACACTACATGTGCAACACATGCACGCACATAGTGCACACCTGCATACACACCCACACATGTGCACACACATGTGCATGTCCACATGCACACTACATGCACGCACACACTTCATGCACGCACACTTGCACACACACACACACACACATGCTTGCACATCACCTATTCAGCAGCAGCCTAGAGGCAGAACTCTCTAGTTAAGAGCTTGGGCCTCAGGACACGCGGTCAAGGCACAGGACCTTGTGAATACAACAGTTTGCAGAGGTTGTCTTAGGGACAGAAGGGGACAGAGATTCAGCGTAAATTGGTGTTCCCCAAACACTCCATCACTTGCAGATGCCACAGGCCAGGCTCTAGTGACCTCATCATCTTCAGGAAAATGAGCCTCAAAGCAGAAAATCAAGCAAAAGAAGAAAACAGCACATGCAAATAATTAAATACCAAGTTTGTACAAAGACTGTTATAGGTCACGATGGGTTTCTGAGAGGCCCCGCATCTGGGTGTAGACAGTGAGCGGGGCCTCTGCCCACGGGTACCCCTCTCCCCATCACACAGGTGGCAGTTCACGGGCTGTTCTGTTGTTGGAGCCACAGGACCAGCGAGGTAATTCTAGCTCCATTGTTTGAGCAATGAACTGGCGGACATTTTCTAATGATTTCAGTAGAATTTTGCCCTGATTTTTGCACAGGACTGAGCCCTTTAACATGCTACTGGCGGAAGCAGGGAGGTGGTACTTTCTGTCCTTCCCCAGGACCCTGTAGGCCTGCACTTGCCCCTCCAGTGGGACAAACCCATCCTTACAGCTCTGACCTGGAGACCCGGGTCCACTCTGGAAGGAGCCCAGGGGTTCCGGAAAGAGCAGGGGCGCCCTCTATTGGGGACTTCTCTCCTGTCAGCATAACTGAGGGAGATCCAAGGCTTCCATTCACCTCACTGACCTGAGCAGAGCCATGCCTGGGGAACTGGGAGGGGCAGAGCAGGGATACGTCACTGCCTTTCCTGCCTGGTTTTCAAATGACAAGAACAGTGTCTGTCACGTGTGGGGTGTGAGCTTAAAAAAAGCGTGTGACAGGCTTACCGCAGAAAACCTGCTTCCCCAAAGCTTGGACAACACCCTTAACATGTTCTCTTCCTCCTCGGGTAGCAGGCAAAGCCACCCTGGAGTGTCACTGTCAGAAAGCCAGTCACAGAAAGAGAGTTAAAACATGCCCTGGTGTGTCGTTTGCTTAGATCTGCGACAACCCTTCAGAGGGATTTTCCCAGGAAATGGAAAAGTAAATGAAACTCTAGAGAGCATTGATGAGTAAGTGTGTCTGTCTCCTTGTGCAGCCTGTGGTTGGAGCACGCCTGTGCCGGCCCTCCTCAGCCCGGCCGCGCACTCTCTAAAGTCCCCAGTTCGGTTCTCAGGGTGACTCTGACTGGCAAAGGTACAACACTGAGACCTGGAGGCCTGTGACCCGCAGCAATGAGTCAGTGATAGACAACGGCCCCTGCTTATCTTTCACAGCCCCCGGTTCTCCTGACACGGGGACACAATGAATCGCAGGGGCTGGGACATTATCGTGAAAGGAATGCTGATGACCCACGTGGCTCAGAGAACATCACGAAGACTTGGCTCCCTGTCACATTCAGGGGGTTTCTGTTTGGTCAAGAAAAGGCCTTTTTTGTAAAGTGGGAGGGGCCTGATGATGTCATTCTCAGTGACGTTTGTGGAACACTCCATAATTTAAAGAGAATTCACACATAGATTTTCCAAGACTACGCAGTGAGGTGGCAGCCAGAATTACTGAGCTCCTTTCACGCGGTGGCTCAGCATCTGCAGACGGGGATTTTTCTGGATTCCAGGGGAGCATGAGGAACGGGGACTATTAGGTTCAAAAGCAGATGCCGGCAGCTCTGCGGGGCCTCACCGTCTGCACTGCTCAGAGTTGTTGGGCAGAGTGATGGAACCCACGAGGCATCTGGGCCATCTTGCTCAAGGTCACATGAAGTGAGGACATCGTCGGATCCTCCCACTTCCCCTCTGCTGTGCCTCAACCTTAACCTAGTATGGGCTGTGCATGCCAAGGAGGTGCTGTGGAGGTGCCCATGGCAGGTGTGGGTGCGCTCGTCCGGCTGACGTGTGAGCAGCTCGAAGCTCCAGACATCGGGAAGTCACGGGAAATCAAACAGGCAGAGTCTGCATATTCTTCCCAGGAAAAGACAAATCTGAGTTTGTAATATGATTGGAATGTTTGCATTTCCATTGGTTTTCACATTCAACTCTAGGTAATAATTCTCCAAGTCGAATATGCATCTTTGGAGAAGGGGACAGAGGGCTGCCTTTGAAAGAGCCGTGGGACTTGTACCATGTTCATCATGAAGGGAAAGGCCTATTGCAGACCTTGTTCACATTACATGGTATTTCTGTTACACATATGTGTATGTATGTCATGCTCTGTTCCTCTTGGATAGACCAGGGGACCCTAGGCTTCACCCCGCCCTGTTCTCTCTGCTTCAGGAATACAAGGCAGATCTCCGGAGTGTCCGCCTACCTATGGGGTCCCAGGTGAATCACTGTGTGTCACTGTCATGAGGCCACAGTGGAGCCAAGAGCCTTCACATGAAACCACGTGAGAACCTGTCCATTCTGCCCTGGCAGCAGAGGGGACTACACGTAAAGGCAACTTTTGTCCCTGGGGCACCACGAACAAGCAGTTTTATAGGAAACAGTTACTTCCCAACACTCGAGTCGTTCTTTGTAGTTAAAATAAACACTATAGTATCTAGGCTTTGGGCCAATTTCACTTCCTCGTTAGTGATTTTTTACGGGCAGTGTTCGGCTTTCGAATGCCCACACACGAACGATCAACTCCTAGAAATATCGCACAGAGTGGAAAATCGGGGAAATCCACGCAAAATAAAACAAAACAGGCAAGAAGCAGGTGGGGATGGATCCCAGGCCCCAAGCGGACCGGGCGGGAGAGGATTGTGAGGTGAGGAAGGGCTCGCCTCCCTTGCCTCCTGAGAATCGCATTGTCAATACGGACAGCAGATTCACAGATCGCCCAGGTAACTAGAGAAACTAAAGCTTCCGGGTGGCAGTGCCTTTGCACTCGGCCGTCCTATGAAACCACGGCTCCCAGTCAGTGTGTCACGTACCAAACACGTCGCTGTCCCCCGAGGGCTCCCGGGAGAGTTCTCGGAGGTTCCTCTTTTTCTCAGACTCCCCTCTGGAGGCTTCGCCCTCCTGGAAAACAAAACAAAACAAAACAAAGTGTTTTATCATCAAAATAATTTACCGCGCTTCTGTCCTCACGTCCGTCCTGGGGTCCGGAACAGTCCCAATTCCGCTGCTCAGTCCTGGCTCAGGCAGGTTTACTGTAGAGCAGTGGTTCTCAACCTTCTGGCCCTTTAAATACAGTTCCTCATGTTGTGACCCAACCATAAAATTATTTTCGTTGCTACTTCATAACTGTAATGTTGCTACTGTTATGAATCGTAATGTAAATATCTGATATGCAGGATGGTCTTAGGCGACCCCTGTGAAAGGGTCGTTCAACTGCCAAAGGGGTCACGACCCACAGGTTGAGAACCGCTGCTGTAGAGGATCATGAGCTCCCGCTTCTTTTCTCGCCCCGAGCACGAGGCCTTCTCCTGTTCCAGGGGATATATTTTCATACAAAAGAAACTGAATATCATCCCCGATAAGGTAATGAGCTGACCCTCACTCCAACCCTATGTTTCTAACATACCGACCGAGTTGAAAACATTCTCAGTGTTGCTGGGGATGTGGGACAGGCAAGGACCCTCCTGGGAGCTGGGACAGACAGCCACAGCCGTCCTTAGAGGACAAGCCACAAAAACCTGCTGTACACCGCCCCGCAACTCCCCCCCGCCCCGCCCCCGAGCTCCCCTCTCTGGAGCCTGAGAAGGCAGAGGTCTGGGAACTCTGACCCCACCTGGCCAGGTCCCCTCAGTGGCTTTCCTGTGTCCAGTGTCCTTCTTGACCCCCTACTCCGGAGATCTGACATGGTCACAGACACCCTGTTTCTCTATTCCTTTCTCCCTGTGACACTGAATGTTTGTTAAGAATGGGGACCTTGCCTTATGCACCTTTCTGTCCCCACACCTCACAGTGCCTGGCACCCAGCATGTGCTGGAGAGAAAACTGTTCAGTTTTATCCTATTTAAGAGTAGTTCAAAATAAACAATTTCTGTTTCGGCAGCGGGCACCAAAGGTGGGTTAAGAGACATGGTTTCATATCTACCTGTTTCGTTTTGGAAGAGAGTGCAACTTGGAACAGAAAGAATTTCCTGATAGTTTCTTTCGTCAGCTATACATTCTTGTCACATGTATTTGTTTCACATCTGGCTTCTAAGCTGATATCAGTCATATTCTTCACTAAGTACAAAATAATAGTTTTATTTGAGGACTAATTAATAATTACCATGTACCTACCATTATAATCACTGTGGATGAAATTTTTTGTGCTTTAGTGTCTACCGGGTCACCCCTTCCAACCTACCCCGTCTTCCAATGAGAACTGGGAGTGTTTTTTCCTCCTTAATGGTAAGTAATGGTGAGTCTCCAAGGGGAGGGTATTCCAGGTTCAGAGTAAAAGCTGGAAGTTAAAGCAAAGGCTGGAGGTTGGGCATGTGGTTCCAGCTTCCCAGGTCCATGGCTCAGGCCGGATGGCAGAGGCACCTGCATCGTACCCCGCCCTGTGCGGACGTCTGTCCTGTAGCCACACAGCGTCCACCTAACCTAGAGCAGCCTCAGGCGGGGCCCAGAGTGGAGGTCAGGGGCAGGACCTCAAGCTTCACCCCCACCTTGGATCTTATCCCTCAATATCAGTGACGCGCACACGGTGGGTTGGACAGGCAGGGGAAGTACGTGTTGCTCGGGGAAATCTAGTGACTAATTTCTGTTCAAACAAGAAGCTTGTTCCTGAGACCTGACACTGTTGCCATCCCACGAACATAAAAATATCCTTGTGACTAACACATTTTTAATAAGCAAAATGCCTACAAGCAAAACAAACAAAACCAAGATGATGTGTGTCAAATGCAATGGAATTTTCCTGATAAAGAAGTAAAAGCTTCCCACAAGTTGTAAACACTCAGGTATACAACCGAGGGCCCGACCCCGTGACCCAGGTACCCCCAGAGTGTCCTTGTCCCAAGTGTCCTCATTCCCAAATGTGTCTGTGGCTGCCAGTGTCTACCAGGTAAATGCATTTGAAGCCATTATGGTTTTTCTCCTCAAAATGTTTGTGCCAATTTTCCGTTCCATCAGCCTAAGTATGTGAGGGCTGACCTAGTAAGAGCCCACTTATTTTTCCATAATCATTTTAGGGGAACATGCAATGAGAAAAAATTCTTATGATTAAGGTAGATTTAAAAATATTTTCCTATAGAGATGAAATTTATTATTCAATAGCATTGGCACAATAATCACTATAAATTAAGTAGTTTGCTGCATCCCCAGTACCTTATTTTTTACACAATGGTTTTCATTCCTGTGTGATTAACATGTCTTGTTTGGTTGATCCGTTCTCTGCTTAGAGGATGAGTCCTGGAGTAGCACAGCGTTCAAACCCCACTGCATGTTTGGTGTCTGCCCCATCCCCCCTCCTTATGCCTGTCTGGTGCCCCTCCTGCCACTACCCAGAGTGCAGTGCAGCTCTGTTCCACCCCTGGACTCCTCAATGGGCCCAAGGCCTCTCCCCTCCTGTGCATCTTTTGTGCAAGCTGAGCTCACAGCCTTTGTCATCTTCACTGGTTCCATGCACCGACCTGAACAGGAAACCGTGGAATGGAATTTGTCGACTTTAGTGTTGGAAGGGTTTGTAAATTCTCTTTAAATAGAGGAGTGGATATTTCCTGCATTTCTTAAAAAAAAAGTGCCTTTCAAATGCCTCCTCTGGTATGGTCGGGATGATAAATGTTATCTGCAAAGAGGCACTCAGAGCCCCCGGCAGCCGGCAGGGTGTCCGTCACAGCCAGGCGAGCGTCTGCTCTCAGGGAGGACTTGCTTCCATCAGATCCAGAGGAAATTGCATTAGTTCAAACCAGCGATCCCAACTGGACTGAACGGCCTCAGGAGAGTGGAGTCAGGCTCTTCTCACTGTTCTAGGACATCAGGGGTCCCAAGGGAGAAGATCCAGTGAGTCGGGGACCCTGCCTGGGATGCAGGGAGCAGGGTCACCCTCCTTTTGCATGGCCTGTGTTTGGGGTCAAATCTCAGTCCTTCCACTGGGTGTGTGTGTGTGTGTGTGTGTGTGTGTGGTATAATAAAAACTCTTCTTACAATGTAGAGCTTATTACTTAACATTTTTGGTTTGTTTCTTAAAAAACAGAATTATTCTTGCTGTAAGCTGGGTTTGGATAAGTAACAAAGGATTCTAGCAAAACATTGAAGCTTTCGGGATCAAAGTAAAGAACATGAAGAGACATGAAGACTGGGATCATGTGAACGGGCTCATTGTGAAGCCAGGTCTCCTCTCACACAGGGTCAGGGCAGGACGGGGACGTCCGTGCACGGGCAGCCGTGGCCTGTCCAGCCCAGGCCTCTTGACACTGGCATTGGTGATGTTCTGGGCCGGGTCAGCCCTGGTCATGGTGTAGGCTGTCCTGTGTGTTGTGAGATGTTGAGGAGCATCTTGATCTCTACCCATGGGCGGCTCAGGGCACCCTGCCGCTGTGACAACTGGACGCTGGCAAACGTCCCACCCAGGGTAGGAGGGGGCACCCTGGTTGAGAGCCACTTGTCCAGACAAAGGGAAGCATCAGATAGGAAGCGAAACCTACAAATCCACTTATTTGTGTGCTTTTCATAAAGACACATTATAAGTCACCAAAACGCTACTTTTAAAAGAACAATTGCAGAGCAGGGACAGCATGACAAGGATTAGAGACTGACTGAAGGTGAGAACCAGATGGAATGGAGTCATGAAAAGCAGTGCTGCCTCCGTAATGGTTTCTCAGATGTGAGCCTTAGATATGCTCTTAAAGCTCAAGCAACAGTAGACGTTCTGGGAGGCTGGACTTCAAAATCAGAAACTCGTGCGTCCGTAGACACCACCGAGAGCGTGAAACATCCGCTCAGAGAACCGGAGGAAGCATTTACAGATTGTACGCCCGGTAAAGGTCTAGTGCCCAGAATATGTAAAGTGCTCCTACAACTCAACAAAGAAAAACAAACCACCCAATTAAAAACATGGGCAAAGAATCGGAACAGACATGTCTCCAAAGAAGACACACAAATGGCCAGTAAGCACGTAACAGATGCTCAACATCGTTATTCGTTAAGAAAATGCAAATGGAAGCCAGGCTGAGGTCCCACCTCACACCACGAGGGTGGATACGATAAAAAAGACTGTAATAATAATAATGATAATCATAGGCGAGGATGTGCGCAAGTCAAAACACTCATCAGCCAGGACGATGGGAGACCATTGTGGAAACAGTCCGGTGGCCCTCAAAGTTCAGCCTCGAAGTACCATGTGACTCATCAAATCCACCTCCAGGTATATGCCCCAGAGAAATGAAAGCATATGTCCACACAAAACACTACACATGGATGTTGTTAGCAGCATTATTCATAATACCAACAGGTGGAGACAACTCAAATGTCCACCAAGTAATGAATGGTAAATTCCTAGAACAGAATGTTACTCGGTACTGAAAAGGAATGAAGCATTGACGTGTGCTACAATGTGGATGAACACTGAGAACATGACCCTCCAGGAAAGAAGCCAGACACACCAAAAAATCATATATATGCATGATTACACATATATGAAGTGTCCAAGACAGGCAAATCTATAGAGACTGCAAGCACATTAGTGTTTGAGTCAGGATGGGGAGTCGGGTGGGGTGGAGAGTGGGGAGTGACAGTTAATGGGCAGGAGGGTTTCTTTGAGGGATAAACAAATGTTATAAAATTAGACTGCTGTGCTGGTTGCATAATCCTATGAATATGCCAAAAAACCCACATTGATTTATACATTTTGAATGAGTACATCTTATGTTATGTGAATTCTATTTCAGCAAAAGCCATTAAAAACCAACAACATCTGCACTCAACAGCCAGGACCCAGTGGCTTTTGGCTGGGCACGTGTCTCAGGGGGGCAATGATGGGGAGGATCAGGGTCCTTCCCGCCCACGCTGGCGGCCAGACCTCTGGAGCTCGCGTGTGGCTCAGTGCCAAGGCCCAGGATTGGCTTTTGAAATGTGGGAAATTAAAATTTTGGAAGACTTTGACTCTTCTCTCTAATGGCTAGACTGATGAACGTGAGTGGATTTATAAATAAAGGCTGAGAAAATGCTTGCTACTCAACACTGAGGACCCCAGAGGAAAAGTATGAATCTCACAGAGCTGAGAATTCAAACCCGGGACTCCTTCCTCGACCTGTTTGTATGGCGTCAGAGGACACAGGAAGCATCCTTGATCACATGAAGTCGCTGCCCAGACGTTCTGTGACTGTAGATGAGTGCCCAAGTGTAAAGTGGGGAACAGGGTCCCGCCCCCAGCTAGCAGAGTCAAAGCCAGACACTATCATTACTTATTTCATTACTATCCATCTTCTGACATCTTCCATACTTAAGAGAAGGTGGAAATAAAAGCTTCTTTTTTTATTATTTTTTTAATATATTTTATTGATTTTTTACAGAGAGGAAGGGACAGGGATAAAGAGTTAGAAACATTGGTGAAAGAGAAACATCGATCAGCTGCCTCTTGCACACTCCCCACTGGGTATGTGCCCGCAACCAAGGTACATGCCCTTGACAAGAATCGAACCCGGGACCCTTGAGTCCGCAGGCTGATGCTCTATCCACTGAGCCAAACCGGTCAGGGCAAAATAAAAGCTTCTTAAGTAAAAACAGGGTTTAATGTGCATACCAATGCAGTGAGGTTAAGAAGTGAAAGAGAAGAATTTTTTAGGGCTCTGATTGCACCTGCCTTTCAGTTTCCTCGCTCTAAATTTAGGGACAAACCTGCCTTGCAGAAGAATGGTCCCTGGTCTGAGCTCTGCTACTGCTGTGATCGAAGGGGGGAAGCCCCGCACAGAAACCTGCTCTGACTCGCTCTAGGAGCTGCAGAACCGAATCTTGCTAAAGCCTGTTTCCACTCTGCCAGCATCAAAACCAGTCACATGAACTTTAATAACCAACTAAATGCGTCTCAAGAATTTCATACCTACAGGTGCAGATAGACGCCGGTCAGCAAGATCAATGCGATCCATTCTTCACTTCGTCAAGAGTGTGAACATGATATTCCTGCAAACGCACTTGCAGGAGAAATTATGCTTTTCAGGCCACAGACCTTCCCCTGGTTTCATAACTGACAATACAAGTAACTCAGGTTTTAGTTATGAGAAGACAGAAACTTCAAAATATTTTTATATTTTGAAAAACCTGTTACACAATCCGCCAGGTCACATGACAACTCAGTGATGCAGGGGAGATGCGTCCAAATGGGTTCTCTGTGATACGCAGGAAACGACACTCCTGCTTCAAGCGCTGCAGGAATTGTGACAACACACCCGTCTCCTAGTCTTTACAGTGTTGTTACAAACCCAGGAAGAGAAACCTAAAGTCACAAGGTTGATTTTCTTTTAAACACTGAAGCAATGATTAAAAGGCACGAGATACCATGTTCCTAAACAGAGGAACGCAGTGCTTTGTATCCCAGCGTTGAAACGAGAAGAGCCTATGGCTCGTGGGAAGGAAGTGTTAACGCTCCTGGGATATTCTCCAAACACCACATCATATTTCCCTTTGAAATACATTGCAACAAGCCTCTTTTCAAAAAGACTAAAACTGTCAGAAAGTAGAAGAGAACAGCTAAAGATTTTACACTCAGTTTATTTTACTTGAAAAGCAGGGTTCTGGGCACCTTAGGGGTGATGTATATCCAGTGGGGCCACGCTGTCACTTGAACACACAGCTATTTAAATCTAAATCATTTAAAATAAATAGCATTAAGAATGTGGTTCCTCAGGTGGACCAGCCACACGCCATGCGCTTCCTGGCCAGGTGTGTCTAATGACTACACATCGGGTGACACAGATAGAATATTCCCACCAGAACAGATCCCCTGCAGCCGTGTCTGCCTGGGGCGGGGGCGGGGGCGGGGGAGGGAGGGGGGAGTCAGAACACGGCAGTGCCCTTTTACTGCAGTCTCCTGTTTTGCAACTGAAGTCGAGAGGAACCCCTTAGGCCTGTGTGTGAGGGAGGTGGAGGTGGAGATAGATAGACAGAGAGATAAACAGATAGATAGACAGATAGATAGACAGGAGGAAAAGAGAGTGAACCTGAGACTCTGGTAGGTGCGGTACAATGGGAAGTCTGCGTGCACCTCGCAGTCTAAGAACTCGCCTCCTTGTCTAGATGTTTCTGTGCAGCTGAGTATCAGAGGAGGTCGGTACATGTCTGTGGGGAAATGCTTCCTACATTTCAGCTCCTTAAGCTCTTAAGTATAGATTATATGGTTAACCTACGAATTATCTGAGTTCTCAAAAAAAAACCCACAAAACTTGTTTACGGGACTTGCCTAAGAAAATGGAAATTATACAGACGGGTCTCCAACAACTGCCAACGCACTGCGATCAACTCAGAAATGTCAAGTTTTGGGGTGAATTTGGGGCTCAAAGGCACCATGGCCCCATCACACGATGCTCCAGGCTGGAGTCTGGGGGACCGGAAGGACTTCCATTGCTCAGTGATTCTGCTTTCCGTTCTGTGACATCGTTACAGTGGCAGCAGCTGGTTTTAGCAGGAAGTGCAGGAGAGTGAGGCGGGAGAGAACAGCGATGCTGGATTTGGGGTTGGGAAGGGCCTGGGTCTCAGTCCCCCTGGTGCTCCTGTCCCCGCAGTGGGCGTGGACGGTACTGCCCGGCTCAGCAGGCAGAGGGCTGAGAGCCACTCTTTGCTGACACTCCCGGGAACCAGGCCAAAGCCGAGAATCAGAACCGAGTGGAGCTGGTGCCTGTGAAATAGGCGGAAAATGGCGAGGGCTGCGCTGGAAACGCAAAGATGACTTTCAGCAGCTTAGAAGGATTGGATGGAGTTTATTTCCACGTTTCCTGTCTGGCTGCATTTTGAAAACATTCCACAGTAAGGGGGTGGGAAGGGCTGCAGAGGCCCCGGCACTGGGCGGCAGAGACCATGGTGGTCTGAAGTCCAGGCCCAGAGCTCGGGCGGTAGTGGCGGTCGAGCGCTGCCCTGGAATTGCTAGGGCTGGAGGGTAACAGTCTGCTGGCATGAGCAGAAAGCCCGGAGCCACAGCGCCCACTCAGAGGACGAGGTAAACGTGCACCCCCAGGTCTCTGAGCCCCTCGTTCCTACCTTATGGGCCTTCTCAGCGCAGAACTCCCGCTTCCCCACGTGGTTCCCCATCCCGCACTGAGTCAGCTGCAGAGGCTGAAAGAAAAAGAGAAGGTGTTAGCCGACAGCTGGCGCGATTAGAATTTTCCGTGTTGTTTTTCAATCAGGACAGCATTCCTGTGAGATGTGCTGCAATCCCTTTCCGAAGAGAGAAAACTAAAACCCCAAACTCAAGACACAACGGACATCTTATTAGTGGTCCCACGAAAATGGCTAGGATATAGGGGAGCTGCCGATCTCAGTGCTGTTCAGTAACAAATACATGTCGGGGTGTTTCCTCATCTGCAAAATCATCAGGCCATCCCCAGCAATCTCGGGGGCTGTTTCTACACAATCACACCCATACAGCGGGGGTCACCGCTCACAGTCAGGGACGTCAGGAAACGACTGAGATGCACAGAGGTGCCTACAAGTGAAAGGTAACAAGTCCGTGCCGCTGCCCAGGGAATCGTGTGAGCACAGAAACCTCAAGATCAGACCAAGGGTGGCTTATCAGACAAGTATGCCAAGAATCTGCAGAATTTCCGGGGGAGATAAAGTTGGATTTTTAAAAAAAGTGTGTATTTTTTGTTCATATTTCCTAACCCAAACACTAACAGCAAATTAACAAGTTTTTTCCCCCCAAAAAAGGCACAAAACTGAATAATTTAGCTTAAACCCATTCCAAACACACTCTGGATCCCACCGCATCCCTGCACCTGCACTAACCCGACGTCCATCCACACACCTGCCCACCTGGGCGCAGCGACAGGGCTTTGTGGACAGCTACCCATGTAGTTTTCCACGACGCATTCCTTTATAAAAGGACACGTGGGTCCCAACTTCCTGCGGAACACAGAACAGTTTTCCTTCCAAGGTCACAAAAGTGAATCCTTTCCTAAAAATGGGGAGGGGGGTTTTTAAATTCCCGTGTCTGAGTGAAAGGCAGCGCGTCCCCTGAAGGCCGCCTTCAGAAAAGAGGAAGCTGTCAGCTGGCATCTGGGTTTCCCCAAAGGCACCGCAGCCCTGGGGCCTCATCCATACGAATGAAGGATGTGGATGCTCTTTTCAGAAGGACCTCAGTGGGCACACGGCTGGTCCTCACGACCGGAGAGAAAGAAGCCAGGACACCTGACAGTTCGCCTCCCCGTGTGTGGGGGTCCCCGAGCCGGCACAGGTGGAGAGCACACAGCCACCCCCTCGACAGTGCAAAGATGAGCGCTGGGCAGGGGACAGCTCCAGAGGGAGCCTGCGCAGAGGGAGTCTGAAAGTGCTGGACTTCAAACAACCCAGATGAAAGCAGCGATAATGTGCCCTAAATCAAAGACATGGTTCTAGTGGTGACAAATGCACTAGCTTTGAAGAATCATATGAATCCCTCATGTTTCATGAGGAGAGTGAAAAAAACAATACTTTAAAGTGTATGCTTTTAAAAATGCAAGTACAGCTTTGCTGATCATTTCAGAATGAAATGGGAGTCTACCGTCTGCCTTCCCCATTTATTTAAATTAGACAAAAACATCTTTTTGGGGTGATGTCACTGAAGAGACTGAGGTTTGGGGCACATACACGACTTTCCTTGATAGGAATGGGTACAGAAAGGGGAAGACAGACGTCGTGTTGCCCTCATGGGGTCCAAACTGTAGTCAGAGAGCATGAATGAGTGGACAGTAGCTGTCACTCTCTGATTCCATGCAGGGTTCTAACTAAATATTGAGAACTTGTAATCTGTATAGAATACATGGAATGGCATCGGCCCAACCATTTGTGGGCCTATCTCCCCGTTTAAGGAAAAAGAATTAGTCTATTCTAAACGAAGCACAGGAACAATCGTTAACTTCATGAAAGCTGACAGCTTGGACTTTCGGGGGTCTCCCATTGCCACCAACTTTGTTTTCACCTCGGCAGCATCTCCAGCTCACGTCCTCTCTCCCCAGCCCCCTGCCTCGTCTGTCTCCATCTCCATCGACCCTCACCCCATCTTTTCATTTCCCTGGCTTTTCATTTATCAGGTAAACTCAACCTAATGCTCCCTCCCCCAGGAAACAAGCCTCACGTGGGACAAGTGAATATTTGGGGGTTGCTTGTGGACTAAGGGGGAGTGTTTTGGGGCGAAGTGTCTCTGAAGCACAGCTGAAATCTAGCTGCAAATGCTTCCGTGGTTCCTGGAAGAGAAATAATATCTCTTCCAGCGTCTCTGATCAAAACCTCCTCACGTTTCAGAGCAAAACGTTAGGCTACCCTTGGGGGGACTGTAATCAACATTTAGAAAACTCGTGGCTCTTGGACACAAACAGAATAGACCGAAGTACCATTTAGAGCAGGGAGAGTCTAGCCTTACACGCACAATTTACATGCTGGCGGGAAAAGATAGACAAGAAAAGCAAAGTAACAGGTGATGCGTGGCGGGCCCCCATCCGTGGGAAGACGGTCTCTGAGCATCCTCGCTGGGCACTGGACCTGCATCGGGGGGCCCTGCCGTGGGAAGAGGGCGTGGCAGGCGGTTGCCTGCACTCTGCACTCAGTCTGACTGCGGGCGGGAGGAGGGGTTGGGAAGGCCGCCTTCCTTGCTGTGACTGTTCCTGAGAACTGCACATCAGCAGCTGGGCTCTATAATCTATGAGAAGAACCATCTGCATACCAAAGAGCCGGAAGACGGGGGTCATCTTCATTTAATCTCACTGTTGCAATTAATCAAAATGAGAGAGCAAGAGGAAGACTTGGTAAACATGTGGAATGCCGCATGGAAGCCAGGCTGACTCTGAAGCATTCTGGGTAATTTCAGAAGCTTTGGGTGAAATAATGAACAATGAACATGTGGGAAGCGGGAAGGACTTTTAGGTTATATCAGGACACCCTCCTAAGGCAGAAATTCAATTCTAGATGAGATTTCTGAACAGCCACTGGATTAGTGAAAATGTCCATGTGTACAGGATCATCCACAATTTGTGTCAGCTAGAAGCTAAAATGAAGCATGTGCAGTAGAAGCCTCAAAATTGATCGGAGAGCCATCCAACCTAACGGTGTGGCTTCATTTCTATAATATGCTCCCACTGCTCTGAGATTTCTGCCTATTTTCTTGGTGGAGACCCTGAGAAATCAGCACATCCCTCGTCATGTGAGCGCCCGGGAACGGGGCAGCTGACATGGTGGAGGCGTGGCGGGGAAATGGCTTCTAGGTATTTTAACCAGGGACGTTCTAACTCTTTAAAGTGCTGAACTTGAACTTGCAGAAGCTCATCACTGTGAAATGCATGGGCCGTCTGCGATGCTTCTACTGCACATGCCTCATTTTAGCTTCTAGCTGCAAGTTCAAGTACAGATCATTCTAACTCTTTAAAGTGCAAACAGGGCAGTTGAGACCTGGGTCCCAATCCAAGCTCCTGCCCATGACCTAGGGCAAGTGACTCACCTGTCTGAGTCTCAGTTTCCTATACAGTGGAAGTAAGAAAAGCTTCCTCACTGAGCTGGTGAGAATGAGATCCATGTGAGAGCTGGTGAGGGTTGGGAGAGGGTGGGCCCTAGGTGCTGGCTGGTCCCTTTCTCATTCGTCCCACCAGGTGTCTGTCACCAGGATGGGTGGTGAGTAGTGCAGGAGACACTCCTAGCTGTCCAGTGACCCACCATCACTCATATTACAGAGACCTTTCTGTGGGTGCCCACGCATGTGTATGTCCACTTCAAACTGCCAAGTTCAGGGAAGGGAAAGGAGTAAAGATGCCAGTGACCCTAGAGGAGCCCAGAATTGACCACACTCAATGAGCCCATACCAAGCTCCCGCTCCATCACAGATGGCTCATGCATTTCACAGTGATGAGCTTCTGCAAGTTCAAGTACAGCACCGGGAATACAGTCAATGGTATTGCAACAACCATGGATGGTGCCAGGCAGGTACTACTTATGGGGAGCTGGATTACTCTGTAAGGTATATAAATGTCTAATCACTGTGTAGCACACCTGAAACTGATATAATAGTGTGTACCAACTGTAATTGAAAAAACTTAAAAATTATATAAAAGACTATACTGAGAACAGGCAGTGAGTGAAGAGATAGCCATTCCCCAAACTTCAGAGACTCCTTCCAATATTAAAATGCTAAACTGGCTATTTCTGTAGTGCCCTTGAGTGCATTTTTACAGGTAATGGGATTATTGTGAAATCTTTTGCTCTTTTGCTTCAATAAGTTTATTGTGAGATAGAGAAGGTTTCAATTCAAGTCTTTCTAGAGGGCTGGCTTCATAGAAGCATCTTTCCTGTCTCCCCAAACCTCCCCCAATGTGAAGAGATAAACAGAAACTCCAGGCGCAGTGACGCGGGACCCAGGGTGGGGCGGGGTGGGGCGTCATCTGTTATCTGCATGTTACTGTACGCCTGGGCTCATTTCTAATCAACTCGTCTAGTTGTATTTATGCCCATGTTGTAGGAAATGCACCACAGTTGTATAATCTTTATAGACTTATGGTTCTTTTGGCTTCAGTTTCACAAGATGCTGTTGGTTGGACAATTTTTTTTTGAGTCCAAGTTCAAGAAAGCACTCCTAAAGTGAATGCTTCAATGGAGATGCAGGTTGATATTACAGTGATGTAATTATAGGAATAACCCTGTGAGCTTTATTCCCATTTTACAGTTGAGAAACTAACGCTGAGAAGGCTGAACCAAGCTATGAGAATAACAATGCCTCTAGGAAAATATTTCAGTTAAAAATTGGGGTCCGTTGGATGTTATGAATATATCTTAGGAGGCAAGTCTAAGATAGCACACATTTCTTAACTGTCAACACAATAAAGAGAAGTGGGCTCTTCTCTCACAAATATCCTTGAGAAAATATGAGTTACAAGGACCTGCTCCTCATGAACACCTGTGCGTGAATACAGTTATATAATGAAAACCGGCTTTCTTCATTCTCCGCCTAAGATCTTACACAGACAGCTGGTGAAAAGTGCACGCAAGGAATGATTTGGGTGTTAATTCCATGCCTCCCCGGAGCCACAGAGCTGGGTCAGTGAGAAACCACAGAAACACCGAGCCCACAGTTACCACCTCAACATCCACGCCCT